AACGAAGATGATTAAGGGACTGGAGCATCTATCATATGAGGAAAGACTAAGCGAGCTGGGCCTGTTTAGTCTGGAGAAAAGAAGACTGAGAGGGGATCTGATCAATATGTAGAAATACCTGAGAGGAGAATGTAAAGAAGATGGGACCAAACCCTTCTCAGTGGTGGCCAGCAATAGGACAAGGGGTAATGGGTACAAGTTGAAACACAGGAAGTTCCACCTCCATGTGAGGAAGAACTTCTTTCCTGTGAGGGCGCCAGAACCATGGAACAGGCTGCCTAGAGAGGTTGTGGAGTCTCCTTCTCTGGAGATCTTCCAAACCCGCCTGGATGCCACCTTGTGCCACGTGCTCTAGGTGTTCCTGCTGGAGCAGGGGGGTTGGACTAGATGATCTCTAGAGGTCCCTTCCAACCTTAACCATTCTGGGATTCTGTGATTTTCATAGAAGTATTTCTATATTCTGCTTTTTTTTGCTTTAGATGAATAGATGAATTTTAAGCACTACTAACTGATATAGTTGCTACTACATGGATTCCTATGAAGTTTTACCTCACATAATTTTTTTCAGTGCTATTATTGCATACACAGTACAGTGCAGAGCATCTTAGATCACTTACCATTTTTCTCTTATGCAGTTTATAAGGATAACACATACGTAGTTCTGTGCATCATAAATCATAGAAAATATCAATAAGTAAAAATAATTCAAATTGTTTTCTGTTTGACTCAGATTTATTTTTTAAAAAGGAGTTTTAAAACTTATTTTCTGTTGTTTTGTTCTTTCTGTACAGAACTGGATATTTCTACCAGTCAGGTCTAAAATAATAAAATATCATTGGAAACTCAATTTTCAGGAACTAATATTTCCTACTGCTTATCTGCAAGCACAGCACCAAATGCCTTAATCTGCTGAAGAAGAATATTTTCACATGTTGACAACAAGAGCAGTGGGATGAGATTACTAAAGAAATGAAAGCTTATATCTTTGCCCAGGGTGGACTCTAAATTCCATAGTTACAAGGATTTTCCCGTATTTTCTGTTAAAGATTTTGTATTTCTGGCATATCCAGTTAAAACACTGACTCAATGACAGCTTCTTCATTCATTTAGGATAATCCCGGGGAAATAACAAATTCAGCTTTGGAACAGTGAGAACATCTGTCCAATGCAGAAGTATACATCACAATTCCCACAGAAGAACTGAGATTTCTGCTAGATATTGTTTTGTACAGAGTGTGTCTGTAAAGTGTATAGATATTGTACAGAGTGTATCTATAAAGACAAGAAGTACCTCAGAACACTCCAGAAAAAATCATCCAGAAAAGTGCTGGTAGCCTCTAAGAAAAGGTTAAGAAAAAGTGTAAATGTTAACTGCTTGTTGTAGGTCTAGAACTGTAAATGAAGAATATAAATCCTTTCGTTTCCCTAAAGAAGCGTTCTTTGTAAAAAATGAGGGTAACAATTATAAAAAATAACCAATGATATCATCTTTTTTTTTTTCGTTATATGTCAGGAATTAATTCATTTGCTTTATTAAGTTCCAACCTTAAAAAAAGTACTTGTCTTCTCAGAAATCACTTGATTAATATGTATCCTACTTATCCAATTAAATATCTCTATTACTGGGAAAGGTTAAAAGGAATTATGAAATGTTGGTTGATGTGGTATGACTTTACTGAGCAGGGAACTTGTGATAGAGCTCCAATGCAAAAAGGCAGTTTACAGGAGTGATAAATGGGGACAGGCAACAAAGGAAGGATTTAAAAGCCAAAGCCTCTGTGTGCATGCAGGGATACTATCAGAAAAGCCAAAGTTCAGCTGCAGTTGAAGCTTGCAAGAGACATCAATGACAAGAAGAAGAGCATCTATGACTGCTACATTTCCTACATTAGTAGGAAAAGGCTGAACATGGAAAATGTGGGCCTGTGACTGAAGGGGATGGGTGATTTAGTGACAGCAGACACAAACAAGGCTGAGATATTTGTTGCTGTCTTTGCCTCAGTCTTTGCCAGTAAGGTTTCTGAGACCTTTGTATTTGCTGAAAGGGTTCAAGGTGAATGACCTGCAGTGGATGAGAGTCGAGTCAGAGAATAATGGAGAGAACATGACCCACACAAGTCTATGGGACCAGATGGACCCAAGGTTGGTGAGAGGAGCTCTGTCATGTTTGAAAAGCCATGGAGATTGGGGAGATCCCCAGTGATTGGAGGATGTTGTGTGGCACCCTTGTAAAAAGGTCTGAAGGACAGTCCAGGGAGTTACAGCCTGGTCAGCCTCACTGCAGTGTCTGTGCATGCCCAGTGTGATCAGGTAGTTTAACTTGCAGGGTTGTTTGGTAGTACATCTGTATCTGACGTGTAAAAAGGAGATCTGAAGATCTATATATTGGAATCTGATTCTTAAATTACTTATATATCCCTCATGCTAACATATACCCAACATACCAAATCCATATTCACATGACTCTAGGAGGCTGCATCACTGACAGTTTGGAAAAGATAGTGTTGAGCTAATCTATCTAATAATTCTTTACACAGCACACAGCATCTGAAAAAAAAAAAAGAGATTAGCTTCTAAGTAGAAGGTATTAAAAAAAAGAAGTATTTTGCCTCTGGGTGAGTTTATTACATGCCTGATACACAATTATATAATAACTATAATCTTTGTTTTCTAAACTGCTTGCATTTCTGCAGATTGATATTTTTGTGTTTGGTGATTTGCTTGTTTTTTTCTCATTTTTACTTTCCCCTTCTCTGCATATTCTTTAGAGAAAACAGGTATACGAGATGATTGTTATCATATTTTCTTCTAAATAAAACAATCCCTAGCTGTCTTCACCTGTCACATATAAAATTAATATTCAGAAACTTCACCCATAATACTAATCCATATTGGTCAGAGAAGGCTTAGACCAAAACTTTTAAGTCACTTGACAGGTTATAAAAATAGTGTTCTAAAATTCAGGTATGAAAAAATGCACCTGGTCAGATGATTGCTACTTCTAATTCCATTTTTCAAAGACACCCATTAATTGAATTAGGATAGCATTCAGATATACAGGGCCAAAATTATTGATATTT